CTCCAGGATCTGCGTGATTACTTATTTTTTACACCAAGTACGTGCAGTACTTTGGGCCAGTAGGGATTGGTTTCCCAGGAATACAAATGCACCCCTCTGCCTTGTCCTTCCTGAGTTCATAGATAGCAAATCTGGCAGGGCTGGGTGGATGGGAAGACCTAGGGTTTGGGAACTAGGATGGATCATAGCCACATTTTCTGTGATGAAAGTTGATAAAAGAACAAGTCTAGACACTTAAAGGTAATTAGTTTAGCTTCAAGTGCATTTGGGGATAATCTCGAACTTCAAAGCTCTTCTCTGTGTCAAGACCTAGGAAATGGAGAATAGGGATCTGGCGCCACGGGATCAGAGGCCACCATCCTGCCCCCACTCCTCTCCTGCGCTCTCTGGCATCATTTGTCTTCCTCCTCTCATCCTCTAGGGCCTAGCACAGTATTCATGCATCACAGGTCATCCACATTGCTACTCAGGTGAACCAAGAAGCTTACCTATTCCTAAAACCTTGTTGTCATCTTCCCAAAAGGGAAATGTGACTATGGCTAGAGGCCATGGACCCTGACTTCTCCTCCAGGCTTTCTCTTCCCCATCCCTGGAAACTTATTTTGCTATCCAGGATGGGAGCCCTAACATCTCTGAGCCTTACCTGCAGTCCCCAGCATTGTGCTGTAGCATGGAGACCCTGGAATTTGGGTCTAGGTTCAAGTCCCAGCTTAGCCACTGGCCAGTTAAATGACAAGGGCCACATCATGTAACCTCATGCCTCACTTCCTCATTTTGTCCTAGGAGCTATAGATTTGAAGACTTTGCTTTCATAGAACTTATATATTCTGGTGAAGATGCACACAATAAACAAATTAAAAAATAATATTGTTTCAGGTTAAGCAGTTGTTATGAAGGAAATAAACAGGCTGGTACAATAGAGAGTGATGGGGGACTTGGATTTTTTTCAAGGGTAACCATAGGTCACATTGCAGAGGTAATATTTGAATTTAGAACTGAAGGATGAGAAAGATCCATGCGAAGAGCTAAGCAAACAGAATTGTCAGCAGAGGTAGCAGCAGGTGTGAAAGCTCCTCAGTGGGGAAAGGCTTGGTGTGTTCACCAATAGGGGAGAGATGAGTCTGGCTATCCTTTTGGATGTGAGCAAGAAAAGAATGGGACGAGATAAGACTGGAGCAGTAGGTAGAAACCAAGGCCTGCTCAGGACCTTATTCTAGGAACAGTTAGAAGCTTTGAAGGGTTACCATCGGGGAGCATGACACTGACACTTCAGCTACTCAGGAGGAACAGACTGGGGAAAGACAAATTTGGAGGCCATCTCAAGGACTGCAAGAGAGGAGATGGTCTTGGAACAGGAGAGCCATGGACAGATTTATGTAGCATGTCTGCCGGATACTATAGTTAATACTCCAGCTAGGTTGTATGCTTCTTGAGGGCAACACCCTCATCTTGGCCTTCAGTTGATCACACATACATTTGTAGAACACTAACCATGTGCCCAGCACTGCCCTTGACTTGTTAGTTTGCTTCATCCTCGTTTTGGTCCTATGAAATAGTTATTTTTTTCCAATTTATAAGCAAAGAAACCTCAGAGAGGTTAATTTTGAAATCCATATCTGTCTGAGGCCATAGCCAACTGTCTTATCTCTACAACATTGTATATATAAATGTTCATAAATGTGTACTGGATAGGCAAAAAGTAAGTCACTCATTGCCCAAGTGGTGTAGTGTGCAGAGTGCAGGAGAGGCTTTTGGCTAAAAATAGCTTCCCTACATGGGACAACAGTAGAATTTTTGATTCTTAGGATCTGAAGGCCCAGTTAAGCAAGAGATGGAAGATGTGGGGGTGAAAAACACATTTTGTCATCGTCAACTGGTAAATTAGCAGAGGATCTCTGTACTCCTAAGTAACATCATTGGGGATTGGGATGCAGGAAAGTTGCATCCCAATGGAACGGAGAGCACTAGTTCTGGAAAATGAGGTGAGGCACTGAAGATAACATGGGGATGAAGAATGCTGCAGAGAACAACGATAAATACCAAGGAAAATACCTGCCAGTTATGGGGTGCCTATTGTGTAGGCATTTAGTAAATGTCCCAGACCTATTAGCTTATTTTGGTGTCTCATAAACTTCTCTTAACAATCCTATGAGGTAGGCATAACTGTGTTTCCTTGATTCTAAGAGACCATCAATTTAATAAAAGCTTTTCAAAGAAAACATACATTGTACTTACACCATGATGTCTTGTTGTGTTGTGCCTCTACTAATGGAATATAGAATGCGTTTATTCGTAACCTAACTACTTTACAGTTCAGGCTAACAATGCAAGTTTGAATTCAAGCCTTCATATCCAGAGTCTGAAGAGTCCTTTCTTCCACTCTGCACATACAATGCCCTATAACCCGCCTGGGACTTCTTTCACATCTTTAGGATTAACAGTGTAATTTAGAGCAGAATAAAGAATACAAGGTTTCTTCTGCTTTTCCTATTTTATTAAACTCACAGTCCCCCTCCCCATCATCTATCTTTTAACTAAGAAATACTCCTTCACAATGCATGACAACCACATAGATTTCCCCAGCTTTGAAAGTCATGTGGCCTAAGCTTAGAGATTTGTCCAAATTTGCAAATATGCTGGTGTTGACATCCCAATGTGTTCCTCTGTGTGGTGACTGGCAAGGTTGTTGTTATTTTCAGCATTGGTTATAAAATGCATTCCTATTACTTTAAGTTTTTTATTTTAATTCCAGTATAGTTAATGTACAGTAGCGATTCAACACTTTCATACATTACTGAGTGCCCACAACTGACAAGTGGATTCCTTAATCTCCATCATCTATTTCACCCATCCCTGCACCCACCTCTCCTCTGGTAACCATCAGTTTGTTCTCTATAGTTAGGAGTCTGTTTTTTTGGTTTGCCTCTTTCTCTCTCTCTTTTTTTTCCCTTTGCTCATTTGTTTTGTTTCTTAAATTCCACATATGAGTGAAATCATATGGTATTTGTCTTTCTCTGACTGACTTATTTCACTTAGCGTTATACTCTCTAGCTCCATTTATGTCGTTGCAAATGGCAAGATTTCATTCTATCTTATGGCTGAGTAACAGTCCATCATTCATATATATATGAATATATATATATGTATTTCACCTCTTCTTTATCCATCCATCCCCCTCGGCTGCTTCCATAGTTTGGCTATTGTAACTAATGCTGCAATCAACATAGGGTACATGTATCCCTTTGAATTAGTGTTGTTGTATTTTTAGTGTAAATACCCAGTAGTGTGATTCCTGGATTGGGCATTCCTATTACTTTTAAAAGCATTTTAAACTTCTCAACATTCGGAGGTACAATTATTTCCCTCCTCTTTCTCTCCGGAACCCTCTCCAGTCAGGCCTTGGTTTCCACCCCTCCACCCAAACTGGTCTCGTCAAGGTCCGTGACAACCTACCTCCACATGGCCAGACCCATTGACCAACTCTCAGTCAGCAGCAGCAGCCCCTGACACCATCCTTACAAAACAGTTTCTTTCTTAGGTCTCCTCTATCAGTCAGAGCCTTCTCAGTTTCTCCTCCTCATTCCTCCTCACCTTCTGACCTCCATGAACCAGTCCTCAGACTTCTCTTACCTTCCCGCCTTCACTTCCGTACTTATGTCACCTAGTTGCATAGCTGGCTTCTATAATCAACAGCTTTTACATGGAAATCTGCAGCTCTCCACCCATCCTACTGCCTACTCTATAGCACTCCTTGGATGTCTAATAGGCTCTGCAAACTTAATGTCTTAAACCAAACTCCTATTTTCCACCCCCACCTCATCCTAAACTGGTTCTTTTTGTGGTCTTTTGTACCTCAATAAATGGCAACTTATGTCCTCTAGTCGCTTGGATAAAAATATTGAGGTCATCTTGACTCCTCTCTTTCTCTCATTCCCCGCATCCAGTCCTGTAGCAAATCCTATCAGCTGGACTTTAAAATTACATCTAAAATGCAATCCGCTGCTACCACCTCGGCCCAGTCATGTTAGTCACTCGCCTAATGTAATTGGCCCACCACTTCCATCCAGGCCTATCAGCAGCCCCTTTTCCACCCTGCAGCCAGAGTGACCCTCTGCAGTCTAAGATCAAGTAATCAACTGCTTAAAGCCATGTGGGGGCTCCTCATCTCAATCAGAGTTAAATTCCAGCCCTATGTCCAACCAGGCTCTATGTCCTGGTACCTGCTAGTTTTGAATTCTGCCTGTCCTATGCCCCCCACCCTCATTGCTAACTATTCTCCAGCCAGACTGGTCTCTTGACTGGTCTCACATATGCCAAGCACAGTCCACCACAGGGACTTAGGGCTTTTGTTCTTGGGGCTTCTGAGCTTCTTTTCTCTTCCCCCAGATTTCCACCTGGCTTGCTCACTCATTTTCTTGAGGTTTCTTCAAATGATACCACAACTGAGAGGCCTCCCTTGTGCCGCCTGTATAGAATAACCACCTCCCAGAATTCTACACTTACTCTGCTTAGTTTTCCCCCATAGCATGTATATCACTAAGAATAGTAGACACTGATTTGTTGATGGCCTGTCCACACTACACTGAGCACAAGTCCCGCAAGTGCAGGGACTGTAGCCGTGTCAGTCACTACAATATCCCGGGACTTAGAGGAGGGCCGTCCCAAAGGAGGGTCTCAGTGAATGTCTGTTGAATTAGCAGACAAAGGAAGAATGAACAAAGAGTCCAGTAACAGTCAGGGCTGAGCTTTCATTAGGAGAAGCATACTTTCTCTACTGCTCAGATCTAGCAGTCAGAACCAACTCCTCTCCAAGTCGCCATCGAGGACTGTGCAGTGACTGGCCCTTCTCAGGCTGACTTTTGCCTTCTGTCCCCTTCCAGGTGTTCAGCTCTCCCAGGCTCCTCGAGGCCTCTGCTATGACCACAGTTCCCTCGTGGTACCAGGACTGCCCTTTGCTGCCGCAGCCACACCAAATCCCCATTCTGCCCTGTCTGTCCTTGGCCCCAAGCCAGCATGGGTAGTGTCAGTAGCCTCATCTCTGGCCACAGCTTTCACGGCAAGCACTGCCGGGCTTCACGATACAAGCTGGGCAAATCCTCCCATCTCAAGAAGCTCAATCGATATTCAGATGGGCTGCTGAGATTTGGCTTCTCTCAGGACTCAGGCCATGGCAAGTCCAGCTCCAAAATGGGAAAGAGTGAAGACTTCTTCTACATCAAGGTCAGCCAGAAAGCCCGGGGCTCCCACCACCCAGATTACACTGCACTGTCTAGTGGGGACATAGGCGGCCCGCCTGGGGTGGACTTTGGCCCGTCCACCCCACCCAAGCTTATGCCCTTCTCCAATCAGCTAGAAATGGTAAGCAAGGGTCTCTGGTAAGGGTGGGTGGGTCAGAAAACCAATAGAGAGCAAAATGGGGGTAAAGAGCAGGGAGGCAGGGAGAGGGGAATGTAGGCAGTAATACTAACATTTAAACCTCCAAGAGGCCAGAGCAGTGGTGGTAAGGGCGGAAGTGCTCAGTTACACCACAGAGATCAAAGGCTAGATGAGGGAATTGAAGCATTGGTCAATCCTCTAATCTGGAAGCCTTGGGTGAGCCCTAAGCAAAGAGCAAAGGGGAATGAAAGCCTTTCTGAGCTCTACTGAAATGCAACTGGTTGTCAAAGCAGGACCAACAGCAGCATTTTCAAGTGCATGGCAAGAGGAGGGAGCTCTGTTATCTCTGGAAGAGCCAATGGAGAGTCCACTTGGAGAGAGCTAGCCGCTTCTCTGCTAGCAGACTCCTGGAGGTGGGCCTTTCCCTCACTCACTCCTCCTGTGGTGCAGCAGCTCCTCACTCAAGCTGGGCCTTGGAAATGTCTTTGGCTGAATAAGAGCCAAGTTTGTTATCATCAAGTTAGCAAGGATGAGATTAAAAGAGCCCTACATACTCAGAAATCCAGCCCTTATGCCACCTCAAGCTTTCATGGGTCCCACCAGTGCACCTGAAAATTTTCCTAGTTAAGCCTTTGCCCCCACCTGGGGGGATGAATCCATGGCTTTGATATTCTAGGAAGGGACCCCCTTAGTTTACAAAGAGCTTTCAGTTTTTCAAATTAAAGGGCTTGTAGACTGCAGTGCACTCTCCCAATGAAAATGACAGTTTTCAGAAAAGGATTGTTACTTCAAGTGATCCTCCCACCCCTTCAATACTGGTCATAGCCAGTTTTCTTACTCCTGGCCTACTGGAAGGGGCAGTGAAGGTGAAGAAGGGATTGACCTCTACAAGGGCACCATGCTCGTCCAGCCTAATTGCTTTACCCTATACCACCCAGAGACCCAGAGCCAGAGCCCTGGCCCAGGGATCTCAGCCAGTGAACCTGAAAATGCTGTTCGTCATCTCAGGAGGGTGGGGACAAGCTTATGACAGGTTGGTAGTTTATAAAACAAAGTGCCTGAATCATCTTTAAGGATAGCCATCCCTAGACACAAAGGAATTTCTCCTTCCTGAGAGAGACTCACCATATTCGGCTGCTTCATAGCCATAGGAAACCTTGCCTGTGGCTATGACCAAGAAGGATGCTGCGTGGCTGGTAGACATACTCAGGCAAGGGAGGGAAGGGTGCAAGGGGACCTGAGGGAAGACATTGGATGGATACAGTTGTTTTCCTCACCAGGGCTCAGAGAAGGGTGCGGCGAGGCCCACAGCATTCAAGCCCGTGCTGCCACGGTCAGGAGCCATCCTCCACTCGTCCCCTGAGAGCTCCAGCCACCAGCTGCACCCTGCCCCTCCAGACAGGCCCAAGGAACAGGAGCCAAAGCCCAGCCTGTGCTCTGGGGCGCTGTCTGACTCCGGCCGGAACTCCATGTCCAGCCTGCCCACACACAGCACCAGCAGCAGCTACCAGTTGGACCCGCTGGTTACGCCAGTGGGGCCAACCAGCCGTTTTGGGGGCTCAGCCCACAACATTACCCAGGGCATCATCCTCCAGGACAGCAACATGATGAGCCTGAAGGCTCTATCTTTCTCTGATGGGGGTAGCAAGCTGGCCCACCCAAGCCAGGCGGACAAGGGTTCCTCATGTGTGCGTTGCCCCATCTCCACAGACGAGTGCACTGTCCAGGAGCTTGAGCAGAAGCTGCTGGGGAGAGGAGAGCTGCAGAAGCTGCAGCGCAGCCTGGAGGAGAAGGAGCTGCCCTCCAGCCAGGCCTCCGAAGAGCGGCAGTGGCGCTGCAAGGAGGGGCGGGAGGGCCTGGAGCAGAAAGGCAGCAGCAAACTGAAGCAAGCTTCCCAGAAGAGCCAGCGCACGCAGCAGGGGCTGCACCTCCAGGTGCTCCAGCTCCAGCAGGAGAAGCGGCAGCTCCGGCAGGAACTTGAGAGCCTCATGAAGGAGCAGGACCTGCTGGAGACCAAGCTCAGGTCCTACGAGAAGGAGAAGACCAGCTTCGCCCCCGCGCTGGAAGAGACCCAGTGGGAGGTGAGGCTTTACCGTGTGGGCTGCGGTGTGGGGGGTGGGGGGGGGCAGTCAGGTGTTTGATGCCAGTCGCTGTTTCTCCAGGTCCTAGCCCATGGTGTGTGAACACAAATTGCCTAAGCAGAGTGAGCCAAAGTGCCAGCCTTGGGACCCAAAGAAGGGGCTATGATTTGTGTGAATTTCCTACTCTCTGCTACCCCAGGGCCTCATGGCCTCCAGAACTGAATTTACTAACTGAGTCACTGACTGAGAAGCTGGAACCAGGAGAATGGAGGCCTCATTGGGCAGTCTGAGGGCCGACCCACTTCCTCTTGCGGGAGGCTCAAAGGAAGCACAAGCCGTTCCTGAGCCTGAGTTCACACTGGTTCAAGAGACCACAAGAGAGCAGAGACCTTGTTACTTTTGAGAGAAGGGACCCCACCCACCAGGAAGAGTGACCTCACTTGGGGCAGGTATCACTGACAGAATGGCTCATTCCTCACAGAAGTGTAAGTGGGGCTTTGTTTGGTGGGCTGCAATGGAAACATGAGCAAGAGAAGGGCACACAGCACCTAGAAATGAGGCTTCTGAACCTGGCTTTGCTGGAGAGCCTGCTTAACTTCCACATCCTGCTCTCCAGCAGGTAGCTTTCCTCACCTGAAGGGGCTTTCAAGGTGGTACGGGGGGTGGGGTGCACAGGTAGGGGTGTGGGCATGGTGGCTCTGGCATTCTCCCCAAAGACGCCTACCCTGGAAAGGAACTGAGGAGGCATTGTGTCTGGTTAGAGCAGCGCCACCCCCAGGTGCGGTGACACATCCTCAGCAGCACAGCTTCCTAGATGCACTGCAGCTTGCTGCACTTACTCTGGAAATGAGAAGGACAAGTGTCATCAGGAGTAGAGGAAAAGGATCCTTTCTTTGGCAGAGATGAACAGGGGGACTGGACAGGTGAGAAGGGAAAGTCCCTTGTGTTTGCCAGGTCTCCCAAAGAAGAAAGGATGCTGGCCGTGGGAGCAGTGCCTGTCCACTTTCCCACTGATGTTGGCAAAGCAGACCTCACCCCAGCCATTGTTTTTCAGCCAGGGCTCAGGACACATTGGGGCAACTCAGAAATGTAAGCTAGTCCTGGCGCTAGGCATCCATCCTTATTTGCCCAATCCCCAACTACGCTGGGCATTGCTGTGACCTCATTCCCAGATTGTCCAGTCAGGCTGTATAGCAAAACAATAAAAAAATAAACATTTAAAATAACACATAAATATATTGCAAACATATTTAGAAAGATAATAATTTATCAAGTGTTTATTAAGTGCCAAGTCATAGGTTCTCCCTTTTATCCTTATAATAACCCTATGAAGTAGGTACTGTTACTAATCCTTAAGTTAGTTAAGGAAACTGAGGCACAGAGAGGTTATAGTAACAAGTTAAATGACTTGCCCACGGTCACCACATAATAGGTATCAGAGCCAGGATTTGATCTCAACACTTTGGCTCCAGAGTTCACATTTTTAATCACTACTCCATAGTGCCACAACACTAATGTAGTATATTGCCAGGATCAGCCAATCATATCATATATGATCCAGCCAGGACTCAAAGGCAGGCCCATGCCTAAACCATGACTCTATGTTGCTCCCTCCGTGAAACAAATACAGGCTTGGTCTTAGAAAGGCATCCTTGGTCCCACACAAGCACTGTGGGTGGAACTCTGCATTGCTTCATAAATGGTTCATGAGCACAAGGGGTTGGGGGTTACTGTGAGTGAAGTGAGGAGAAATTAAGGTGGCTTCTGGTCTTGATCCAAGAATCCATTCTATAGAGGCCCAGGCCCTGACCTTCATTCTGTCCAGCTTTCCCACAGGCCGGCAGGAGAAAAGTCATTCTTGTGACACCGCCGGCCAGACTGGTCTTGATCTTCTTTTGAACCACCTATGACCCCAAATGGGCCAAGACCCCGGAGACCCGGGGATCTGAATCAGTGCCTTTGGTTTTGTCTGCTGCTCTTGGCCAACTTTTGAAAAGGAATAAGAATAGAAAGGGTGGAGGGGTGGGGCAGGGGGAGAACATAGTAGCTCTCCATCTGGCAGATCTGAATTTGACACTCTGAGCCAGCTGTGTTGCTTGTCATTGGAGTGCAGCAGTTAATGATTGAAGATAGTCTTTATCCCAGTAGGGAGAGAGGGGAGCTGGGTGTGCGCAGGGATGAGGTCAGAGGATATGGGCACAAACATGAATGATAGAAGTTTGGCAGACGTGGACATCAATATCATTGATTGTTAAGTGTGGATGATGGAGCTACTGGTAGTAGTCACTGAGTTACACATAGCCGTGGGTTTGGGTACAGATTGAGATTTAGACTCTGATTTGGGATTGAGGCAGGCATGTGGACGGACCAAGTCAGGCTACAGAATGAAAGGAAGCTCAGAGAGGGGCTTGGCCTTCATGGGTCACCCAGACCATCATGCTCTTGAGATACCGTGTCAGGACCAGCCTAATTCTTTAGGCAGTTAAGATGTTACTTGCCCCAGGTAAGGACCTCTTACATCTTAGCACTTTTCTCTTCTCCCCCACCCAACCCTTGGCAGGTGTGCCAGAAGTCAGGTGAAATCTCTCTCCTGAAGCAGCAGCTGAAGGAGTCCCAGACAGAGATCAATGCCAAGGCTAGTGAGATCCTCAGTCTGAAGGCGCAGCTGAAGGACACACGGGGCAAACTGGAAAGCATGGAGCTGAAGACCCAGGATTTGGAGAGCGCTCTGCGCACCAAGGGCCTAGAGCTAGAGGTCTGTGAGAATGAGCTACAGCGCAAGAAAAATGAGTCTGAGCTTCTCCGAGAGAAGGTGAACCTGCTGGAGCAGGAGCTGCTGGAGCTGCGGGCCCAGGCTGCCCTGCAGCGGGATGCTGTGTCTATGGGGCCAGGACTGGGGCCTGGGCCAGGGACTACCTTCTCTGAGGACATCCCCGCCCTGCAGCGGGAGTTGGAGCGGCTGCGTGCAGAGCTGAAGGAGGAGCGGCAAGGCCACGACCAGATGTCGTCAGGCTTCCAGCATGAGCGGCTGGTGTGGAAGGAGGAGAAAGAGAAGGTGATCCAGTACCAGAAGCAGTTACAGCAGAGCTACCTAGCCATGTACCAGCGGAACCAGCGCCTGGAGAAGGCTCTGCAGCAACTGGCCCGTGGGGACGGTGCAGGGGAGCCTTTTGAAATTGACCTTGAAGGAGCCGACATCCCCTATGAGGACATCATAGCCACTGAGATCTGAGGGACCTACCGGGAGAGGGAGAGCCAGGGATCTGGCATCGGGAGGCAGGGGTACAGAGCCTGTCACGGAGGGCTCCTCTCCCCACTCCCCTGCTCAGTAACTCAGGCCTCTGTGAGAGGCCTTCCCCAAGGCACAGACTGGGAGTCTCCAGGGGAGGGGGGTAGGAAGGACTGCTACATAACCTTTGCAGTCCTTGCCCACATTGCAGCATTTACCATCCCTGCAGCCCACCAGACCTCTAGCTTCCCTAAGAGATGGGTTCAGGGATCTCCATCATTTGGTTAAGAGATCTCTAAACCTTACCTTTTTGTTCAAAAATACTTAGACCCTCTCCCAGGGATGGTGGTAACTGCTGTATTGGCCAATGGCCACCCCAGGACAGAAGCTCCCTTCTGCCTATTCGCACAACCGCTTATTTTGCCCCTGGACACACTGGGATGCCTTGAGAGTAGAAAGAAGCCATCTGTGATCATAAACCTTAGAACCTGACCTGGTCATAACCTGAGCTGTTTTTCTCTGGCCTCGGAGTTGTAGGGGTTGGATTTTGGTATGGAGAACCTGGCTTAGCAACATCAGAGCTGTCCCAACCCTAGAAAGCCACAAAAAGGGGAAATCTGGGGCAGCCCAGGAATGTTTAGACTTAGCAAAGCCCAGAGGGGGTCAGAGGGAGAACCCAGGTAGTAATGGCCAGACCCTGCTGGGCCCTGCTAACTGGAGGTAAGCAGCCTTTGGACAGCTGGTAGCCATTGACCTCAGGGACCACTCTTCTTCAGGCCATAGACACTGAGGCCCTGGGGAGGGGAAGATTGTGACACAGGGAAGGTGTGGCTTTCCAAATTTCCCTGGGAGAGCCTCCAGATCTTTCCTCATGGGGCCAGAGGTAGGGGTGCCCCCACCTGGTTTAAATTGGCCAGTGGCTACTCTGAACTTACTTTCTTCTCAAGAATCCAGCCTTTGCTGGATCCAGAATAACCTATATATGACAAAAATGGTGCAGGGATGATCTGACATTTTCCCTCCTCTGCCTGGCACACCCTTTCCCCTTTGCATTTCCAGTGCTAAATTCAGACAAGACTCCTTACAGGTCAGGAACAATCCCCAGAGTTTGGTGGGCCAGAGTCCCAGGCAGGGAGAAGAGACACGAATACAGCCTTATGAACAGCCCCAGGGCCACTGGCTAGCCTCCGTCCACCTGGGCCCCACAGGAGCCCCCAGTTGTAAAGAATCCAGAAAGCTTCAGTTAGCTGGGGGCTGGGCCAGTGCCTGGGGGAGGCTGGTGTTTCTCTTCTGAAGATGTACAGAGCTGGGGGAGGAGAGAATGGTGGGGTTTCTTACTTAGTTGCTTGGTTCAGAGAAAAAAAAAAATTTTTTTTTTTTTAGTCTTCTTTCTTTTTTTTCTTTCTTGTTTTTTCAGAAGCAAGCCAGATCTAGCAGGCAGCCAGAACTGTTCCATGTTCTATTTTTGACTCAAGCTACAGCTGTTGTTCTTTCTTAGGACAGCCAAGCCTTGCTGGATTCCTGAGCTTCATGCCTGCTTGCTGAGAGGGGTTCACTGAGGTAGGAGAGATGAGAGAGTCTAGGTATTTAGCAGTCTGAGACCAAACCCCTGGTTCTGCCTTCCTGACCACCGTCCTTACAGGACCCAGAGTGGGAGTGGGAGCTGCTTCTTGTCACCCACCGCCTTCAGAGCCACCACATTCTTTCCCTGAGTCGGGCTGAGAGCAGGGCCATCTTCCCTGCAGGTGGCTCTTCCTTCTGGTCCCTGGGGTTAAGCTGTGCCTGTGACAGAGGATCTTTTCTGGAATTTCAAGCCACTGGTCTTAGTCATAGGGCAGATTTAAACCTGAAATGGATAGGCTAAATGCCCCCTTCCTGCCTGGAGGGCAGTGCCCTTCATTGGGCACAGTGCAGGCCCTCAAGTCAAAAATGTCCCATTCCCTCTGCTACGCTATTAGACGGTGGAAGAGGGATGGTAAAATATCTTTCAACTGAGAAGGCACTTTGAGACCAGAAAACAAAGCAGGTGACTCCATCCAGTTTACAGAGTTTTATTCAGGGTAACTTACTGACAGGGAGAATCGGGTGGAGGATGATCCAGGCGCTGCACGCAGTTATTCTCCACAAAGTCTGGACCTCCGTCCACAGATTCTATAAAGCTAGGGGACACATAGGAGGGCATTATGGTGAGATTCAAGGGTTTGCATACACCTAATGGACAGCTAACCTTTAATTAGATCTGCAGCACCACCTGTGCCTCAGGAAGAGGAAAGACTATGTTCTCTTTAGCAGATTCATGGGAGGCCTAACAGCCTTCCCCAATCCCAACCTCCAAACGCATTTCTAAGGTATGTATGTTAACCTCCCAGGGGCCCAGAACACAGCTCCAAGAGAGGTCATCAAGCGAACACGAGCAAGATGGAGGGCCCAAGATGGAGTCCGTATTGTCAGCACTCCTACACACAGAGCTCACCCCCTCTGTTTCACCAGCCTGTGCCTTGTTTGAGTTCTTTTCCCCAGTGAGACCGCCATGAGATAGAGGGGCTGCTGCTCCCCCCCCAGGCTGGAGATACCCCACTGCTCCCCAACCCCAGAGAGCAGCCAAAGCCCTGTGCCCTGCCCTCCAGACCTTGCTGAGAAGAGATGGGTGCTAAGCCCAGGGGAGGACACTCAGGGGCAAGGTCTGTGCTCCACCATGGTGTGACCATACCAAGCACTCTGCATCGCTGCCTAAGGCCAACCCGTGGATGCCCCCCAACCAGCTGAAGGCTCCAGGGTGCCCCACAGGGCACCAGAGCGCAACTGTGTCCTGTAACATAGTGACCTTACCGCCATGTGGTTTTTCTTCCCTTCCCTGTGGAAAAACATCCTTATTATTCCCAGACCATGCCAAACCCAGCCTCTCCGGAAGGAGGCTCTGAACAACAGAGGCTGAGCAGGGACTGGGAAGTCAGATGACAGGGGCTTCAGAGCAGACGGCCTGGCCCAGGGCCAGCCAGCATGAGCTCGCTGCCCTTCGCTCTGAATACTCCTGCCGGCATGCTTGCTCATTCAGTCAGATCGACCTGCTCTGCTCTTCCAAAAGATGCCTGGCCTGAAAACGCTCTGCCTGCCTGCAAAGAGAGCAGCACCCGGTACCACCTCACCAAGAAGGGCACTCTGCCTCCAGGCCTTGCAGTGACCAGAGTCTCTCAGGGCTCCCCCTGGGGCTTGTCTTCTGGCTGCTGGGTCATTCGGGTAACTCCTGCTGGGTGCACTCTGGGCCCCAAAGGCACTGAGCTCTATAGGGCCTAGGGAGGGTTAGCTTTCCTCTGAGAAACACTTGCTGACCCTCTGCTCCCTGCCCTGCTCTTGTCCCAGCCCAGCCTGGGCCATCTCTTGCTGATGGAGCAGCAGATTTGGGAGAGGGCTTTCCCTATGGGTCCTGAGTTCTCCTAAACCAGAGCTGCCATGGCAGGAGGCTGTGCACCCTGTCCAGTGGGCGCTTCATGCGTGGTCCGTCTTGTGCTGAGTCTGCAGGCAAAGCTGGAACCTCCAGCCAAGGCTGGCTTCGGATAGACTGGCATTTGGAAGAATATGTACATAGTTATTTTTCTCTGGGTTGTTTCTTGGTTTTTTTTTGGTTTTTTTGTTTGTTTGTTTTTTTTTTTCTTTTTTGGTTTGAGTTGCTTTCGACAGTTTCATTTTATTTTTGATGCCCCTTCTTGGCCATGTAAACTATCTCTGATAATTTTATGTTTCTATTTATGAATAAAGAATGCCATTTTTCATGCCCACCAGAGCTACTTTTGTCTCCTCAAGCTACCCTGCTTCTCCAGGCTATGGTATGGCAGCTCCTTGGGGCGCCTCCATCTGGAACGGGAAAGGTGATGTCTCTCCCTGCCAGTGAAGGAGGAGCAGACAGCCTTGATGAAGGCAGTGTTGACCAGGGGGAAAGCATGGTCCTTGGCATCAGGTAGACTTCCAGGCAGTCTGTACCACTCTCCAACCCTGTAGTTTTATCTGTGAAAGGACCCTGACTTGACCCCGAGGAAGGAGAAAAGGAGACGAAGGGACCTGGTTGTCTGTAACGCACAGGGTCCTCTCCAACAGAGAACCCCTTCCCCAGCCCCAAACTTAGGCCTCCCCTCCCTCACTGTCTAGCTGCTCACCTCACTGGCCAATTCCTTGACCCACTGAATCCAGCCTCTTTGGCAGGAGACCTGAGTGACTACTGTTGCACTACCTCTGGGCCTCCCCGCTGGGAAGGTGCAGTCACCACGGTGGCCATCTATCCAGCCTTGTCCATGCCAACCTGCCTCGTTCACCTCAGCAAGCATTCCCAACTGCTCTGGGCTCAAGTCCTACACTCAAAGGGCTTCTACTCAGGTGGCAGGAGACAGAAGGGACATGTACAAAGGAAATGGAACACATGAGGGATAAATGGCAATGCCTCTGAGGTGGGACAAATCAGGGTCTCTAGGGAAGGTGGCAGGCAGGAACGGGTCTGGGGGACCCGCATGGGACAGAAGAGGAGTGAGCAGAAAGGGAAAGACAGGAAGCACATACCAGGACAGGCATTTCCACCAGCCTGGGGCTTCCTGCCTGTCTATGCAGGTGACAGGAGCAGCACTGGAGGTTGGAGAGGCAGGAGGCCAGGGTGCGGTGGACCTCCAAACTCCAGGAGGGTCAGGCAGCTGAGAAGTAAGCAAGCCAGGACAGGAGCCTGCATCTGTCTAATTCCAAGGCCCAGCACTCTGACAAATGGGTCGTATCAGCCCTGGAGTAACCGTTCTTGTTCTTTTCCTGAGCTGGCTCATGGGGGGGAGGCTGTTGCATTGGTGACACCCACTGAAATAGGCCTCCCACTAATCACACCCTGCTGTGGCCCCCTCCCCTTTAGTTCTGGCAGGCCCTAGGACTCACATTCACCAAAGTCAGTAGAAGTGAGGCTCCACCAGTTTCAGCCCAAGCTTAGAAGGCAGCCTAAGCTTGGAAGCTTCCAATTTTATATTCCTGGGGGCCCTGCGCTGCCATGTACAAAGCCCCTCTA